AGAGGAGACAGGAAAGCAAGGGCTCTCTGCGGGGCTCACTTGCCCTAAGCTCCAGCAACATGCCATGCACTTACCAGAGGCATTTAGCTCTCAGCAGGGAGGGCTGAGGTTTCCCCTGCTTCTTCATTCTGGCCATTAGCCTAGTTTCCCAGGAAAGGTACATTAGCTTCAAGGTTAGACAGTCTGCTCCATAGCACCTCAACTTGAAGTTGCGGTGTCATAGCCCAGAGCGAACGACCCTTCGGCTGCCTATGCAGCCAGCTGCTTGGCCGTGTTCCTCTCTGAAAGGCTCAGCAAAGTTTGTTACTGCTTTTGTTATACCAGAAGGGGTTGACTCATCTCTGTAAAGACTGCCCAGGGCTATGGCATCAAGAAGAGGTCTAGGCAGCTGCTAGCGCCAGTCCCTCGAGGGACAGAATGCAGCCTTCAGTGTTGGTGGAACCCGTAGGCAGGCAGAAAGGCTTTGTACCTCCGGCAGGCTACCTCCTGGGTGAAGGGCTCTTGGATAGCATGGGCACATGTTTTCTCCCACAGGAAACTGTGGGCAGCCACTCCTCCGCTAGCCAGCTGTGCCCTAAGAGGGTTGCCTGAGGGCTTCTACTGGCCATAGCATCCTCAGAAGCTGTGTATCAGCAGGCAGAAGGGTGTAGGCAGGGTGAATGTCAAGCGGGACAATGGAGGGCCAGCCTAACCACTGTGCTATGGGCTGCCTGAAATCAGGGAAAGAGACCTGAAGGATCTATGGACTGTTGCCTGAAGGACTTTTCAGATGAAAATTTCAATAAAGTAGGCATGAAATGCACATAATTATCAACTGCAATCATGCTAAAGAGCATAGAATAAAAAGGCTTCTTCTCCAGAGTTCCACCCCTTTCTCCAGGCTAGGTGCACCCTTCCAGAAATAGACATCCCCGTTGGGAATGTTTTCCTTTTTATTTCTGGCTTAGTCTGAATTTTAACTATAATGACTCTTCTTTTTTTGACTTCATATTTTAGTCATGCACGAAGTAGAGAAAATAATAAGATAAACCTCCATGTTTTCATGCAGCTGTAACAATTATCAAAATTTGGCCAATATTATTTCATCGAATCTTGCTAATACATTTTTTCTATGGGCAAAGCTCAGGGGTTGTGACATTTGGCCATGAAGATTTCTAAAATAAAGTCTCTTTTAAAAAAATCCCTACATCTGGGGATGCAGCGTAGTAGTGTTTGCCTAGAATACAAAGGCTCTGAGTTGGCTCTCCAGCAGCACCCATACTCCCAGTCTGTCCTGGTACTATGATCACAGCTCACAAGCACACCAATGGTCTTTCCTGTCGTATGGTCTCTTCTGACTCCCACTTCTTTCAAATCCCGCAAGATATAGAAAAACCGTTGCATTTCCAGCATTCACTTTGCACTTTGCTCGAGGAGTATGAAGGGTTAGAAACTTGGACCATGGCAGCCAGAAGCCTGCCCATCCTCCCTTGGCTGTTCTTGTTCAGGAAAGAGGCTCTGTAGTCAAAGATTCTTTGGGAGCAGAACAGTTGTCCCAGCAAGTTCCAAGCAATGAGGCTGGATAGGGGTATCTTCGAAAGGTAGTTTTGTCTTTTGCCTAGTAGGTAGCCCTGGGAAAGCTGCTTCTGTGTCCCCTATTACTCAAATGGAAAAAGCTAAAATGTGTTCCTTCGAGTTAGGTGAGGATTGACAAGCCCAGAAGTCATTTGAATTCTGCTGCTGTTAGATCTCGTATATATGCATCTTCTCTGTAGAGGCTATCCTAGTAAAGATGGCCAGTTTTCAGGATTCGGGGGGGGGGGGGGGAGGGTTCATATGGACAGCTCATTTCTCCGCACTGCGACTGGCTATTTGGCATGCTCCGGGTGCTCTTTTCCTGAGTTTATTTGTCTGAATGTTTTGGCTTCTAAGCTACTTTCTTTACTCTCTCTCAAACTATTAGCATCTCTCCTTTATAAATACACACACAATTTACCAGTCACTCATGGCCATCCTTACATTGCTCTTTGAATGACCAGGAAAAGAGCAGCACCCTCCCCTACACACACACACACACACACACACACACACACACCCTGCATGATCAAAGAATGTGGCATCTCTGGCCCTCAGCCCTCAGTTCTCTTGGCCAGAAAGGCATGGCCAAACCAATCGGCAGAAAGTTGGGTGTGGAAAGTTCTATCTGCAAATACACAGGACTTGATACATTGCCTGCCATTCTGCCAGTCTTCTGTGCCAGGACTGGAAAAAAAAACTGTAAAAAGCGGCCACTCGCCTTCCAAATTGGGCCTATAATGACATGGTCTTCTTGGGTAGGACAAGAAAAGCCTCAGCTCTAGATTCTCCAGTACCACCAGATGAGCCCGAGAACTCACTGGTACTATGCCTTCTCTGGTTCCGTTTCCATCTTCTAAGTGGACATGGAGAAGTGTACCACCAGATTAGGCACTTGTGTGCTTATCTAGTTTTCAGGGGGAAAATCACGGGGCTTCTCTGAATGCCCTAGCTCAGTGGAGCAAAGAAAATTTGCCGCCTTATTTCGAGCCTCCAAGAATCTGGTACTGTGAGATGACAGAGGAGAGAACGGAGGGAATATCCAAGTATTTTATCGTTAATTGAAGACAGTCGTACAACTAAACCAAGCTATGATCAAGGAGGGCCAGGTTCTCGGGTGGTACTACAAGAAGTGCTCGAAGCAGTGCAGTGTTTACTAGTTTAATACAGTCCTGCTTTGTTCTTCCTCACAGGTCCCCAGAGCAGGCAGCCCACTGCAACCATGAAGGCTGCTGGTGCCCTCTGGAGGAAGTTTTGGGCATTGCAGAAGCCCGGCAGGAATGGAGAACATTTTCTTTCCTTCAGCTCACCTTAGGAGACCCATTGAAAACAGAATCACAGAAATAGGTAGGGTGGATGGACTTTATGGGGTCGGGAGCTTCTTTAAGACCTGGAAGAAATCCTGCTAGGACTGTAGGGAGGACTTAGAACAAGGATGCAGAGAGACTGTCCAGGCAGACTGTCAGATGGACAGAGCCACTACAACACACTAGATCTGAGCGAACTGAGAACCAGAGGGCACTGGGGAGAGTGTGACATAATTACCTGGCCGAATTCCTTTCCGAGCCGTTGGCATAAGAGCAAGGCAGACACAGGAAGACCCACCCCATCAGTGAGGAGAAGTGGGGGAAGGAGATAGAGAGGAGGGACAAGAGAAAGAACAGAGATGAAATATACTGTAAGACAGTAGAGGGTGGGAAGGAGAAAAGAAAAGAGGCCTCAGGAGAATATGGTAGATAACTTGGTGTCTGTGAGTTTCCTGGGGAATTATTTTCTTCTGAGTAGTCTAGTCAGTCCTAGAGACACTGCTGAGTGATTTCCCCTGCACAGAGATCTGCCTTGGCTATTTGAGTTCTTAAGGATCTTCTTTCTCATGCCCTGCATCAGAATGGCCAAAGTCAGTTCTTTTTGCCGTCATCCCTTTCCTCCAAGGCCGTTAATAGAGGGAAGATCCTGCAAGTGTACATCTGTGGCAGGCAGAGTCTATGTCTGGAGGGCATGCCTGGGAAGGCACCACTTTAACGCCCTCAGCAACCAGGCATGGCCTTAGGCTGGTCCGCTCTGAGAAGCCGCTACTTTACTGTTCGGCAAGAGGCATATACAAGGATCCCTTCACACTGGAGCTTGTATAAGAGCAAAAGATCTGTTCTAGAGTCAGTGTTGTATAATGTACGGTTCTGGACTCCAGTGTAATCAGCCAGAAGCATGTGGGAAATCACAACCACAAAAGAAGTCCCTAACACACAGTATGTGTTCTCTTCCTCCACAGAAAATTTTAGGCTCTGTTCAGTTTCCCCCCTCGGTTGTCTCTTATCTCAAGACAAAACCACGGGACAAGTTCAGGAGAACATACCTTTTTTCCTAGGTGTGTAGAGATGACAGTCTCTGCTCTTGTTATGGACCAATGACCTGCCTTAGAGCCATTCAGGAGTAGACTCTTGCTTCTAGATCAAGAGGGTTATGACCGTCTGAGGCTCCTGACCTGAGAGAGAAGATTGACAAGGAACCCACATCAGGGTCACCTGTTCCAGAAGGTTATAGAAAACTTTCCCTAACAAACATCACCTTTTATATTTGGCACTCGGGTCCCTTCACAGACTTCAGAAATCAGTCAGTCTTCCCAGTATAGACGTTTCATATATTCTTCCTGTTTTCACTGTGCTTGACCATTTTTAACAGAATTTCCTCCGAGACAGGACTGTGTTTCCTTTCTCCCCCATACCTGACTGCTACACTCTAACCACTCCTTGCTTCTCTCTGCCTTGTCTTCACTTGCAGATGGGAACACCACATTTCCGGGCTAGATGTTGACTAGCAGATTCCCAGATTGTGATCCTATCTTCTCTCAAAGTGAATTCTCCTTAGAAATCACCTCCAACTTCCACCCTGGCCTCTTTCTTTCTGTGAACTTGGCATAGATCTTGCCCTCTCCTTTGTGTCCCCATTGTCTAACTATGTAATCGTTATAATTCTCAAAGCGGAGGGTGCCTTTTGTTAACAAACAGGGAGGGCCAGGTTCCAGGGTCAAGGGCAGCTAGGAGTGAGGTTGTGTGGGGCATATTTGAGAGCGTAGCATGTAGGTTTTTGATCCAGCCCCCCTCATCAGGGCTACCATTTCACACGACTTCAGTATGCTCAGACTGAGGTATGATGCATCAGATAGGCCCAAGGATCAGTTGGAGGATTGCAGGACCCCTCCATTTAATTCCCACCCCCAATTCACATTTCCAGATGTCTTTGTAGCAAAATGAAATTCTAGAGAAGCTTTAGAAAAAAGAAGGAAAAAAAGAAACAATTGGGAGTGAAAGGCAGAAAGAGAAGATGGAGCCCTTAAAGAAGGGAGGATCCCAAAGGAGGTGGGGACAAGGGGAGGAGAAGGGGAGGAGGAGAGGAGGAGGAAAGCGAGCCTGTCTCTTTAAGGGGGTTGGCTGTCAATCAGAGAGTCCTTTTCATTGCAGGAGGAGAGGACAAAGATACTCAGAGAGAAAAAGTAAAGGACAGAAGAAGGAGACTGGAGAGACCAGGATCCTTCCAGCTGAACAAAGTCAGCCGCAAAGCAGACTAGCCAGCAGGCTGCAGTTGGAGTCAGAGTGCCAAAGACATGGGTGAGTTTCAAAAACTTGAGCAGCGAAGATACAGGAATTCAAAGGAGAATTTCCAACTTTGGGGCGTTGGGTTTCCAGTGGTTTCGATAAGTTGTGTTTTGGCACTTGTTTTCTGCTTTCATTCCTTAGCATTTCATCGTATTAACTCCTTCTTTACTGTACTCAGCCTAATGCTTTATTGCCAGTGAGTGCCATCAGTACATGTGGAGTCCCACAGGTCCTTGCAGAGAATGCCCAGCAGGATGGATGTGACCATGTGGCTTCCTACCCCTTCACCTCCTTCTCCTTTCTCCTTTCCCCTCATCTTAAGGCCCTGGTTATGGTGGGGTCATCTGGAACCCCTGGTTCCACTGGGGGCAACTTGAATATTGACTAATCCTCAGATATATCAAATCCTCACTTCCCTGGTACAAACTTCAGAGCATGTTTGGCATCAATAGGATGGAGGAACAGGGAAAATTGGACTCAGACTTAGAAGTGTCTATGCTAGATATTCCAGGTTCAGAAAATGAAAATACAGTTCACAATGGTTTTATCATTGTGAATAGATATGGACTATCTATTATCTGTATCTAATCCATATCTGTAGAGAAGAGATATGGATTGTGTGTGCATATGTGTGTGTGTGTGTGTGTGTGTGTGTGTGTGTGTGTGTGTGCACCACATACAGCTCAACATTTCTAGTAAGTATCATGAATTCCTGCTGAACCAAGAAGGCTTCTATCTAAGGGCACTTGTTGACTGAGACCTGAGGACTTTTCTACGTCCTGTAAAGGTGGAAGCTGTGAAGTTCTGGTGTCCAGCGGTGTCTATTCAGCATAAGGTGGGTGGAACATAAGGGTCTTTGCTTAGGCAAGATGCTGCAGAGATATCTACATATTGCTCACATTTGGGACCGATAAAAGTAGCAGCTTGAACACATCCTGAATGAAAGGAGATTCAGTTTCCCTGTGTCTTCACCGTGCAACATAGTAGCCAGTAAGTTGATAGGAGCCACAGAAGTAGTTTTTCAGTTAGACTGAACTGTTGTTAACCTTGCCTTTTTTTCCATCCCAAGTCACAGAGGGAACTGTTAGAAGCATGTAAGTTAGTAGGATAGTTAAGAGGGTGGAGTACTAGACTAGGAGGCCAAATAACCAGGTTTGGATCTCAGCTCAGTCTCTAATGAACTGTGCAAAATTGGGCATGTCCCCATGAGTCATCATCTGGAACACAGGGGCAACAATAACTGTTTTGTCTACTTTCAGGGTGGAAGATCAGGTACTAATGCTGTGGCAGTCCTGTCAATGTAGACAAGTTCTGTACCCATTGTCAATTCTGATGACGTCAACTAGTATGTATTATGTAACAATGCATGTCTAGGCTGCTGCGTCCTCCTTCCAAGGTTGTCCGGTTTTCTTTGTGTAAGAACCATTTGATGGCCTGAGTGCAACAGGGTGAGAAGAATTGTGGGAAGAACTCAGTTCTTGCTCTGGACCCAGAAATCCTATCTGATGTGAGAACAGCTGATTGAGGAGGTTGTTCCTTCAAAACAGGGGAAATGCAAGTTGAATCTTATATCCCAAGGGATAAATCCTTGAAGAAGAGATAGGAAGAAAGAAAGAAAATGATCACAGGAATATTTTGTTATAAGGGAGGGCAGATCTCGCTCTCTCTCTCTCTCTCTCTCTCTCTCTCTCTCTCTCTCTCTCTCTC